GAAGCACCTGCTCCTGTCTTTGTGGTTGCAGCAACGGTGGTTGAACCATTTGTTCCAGCACTTGAAGTAAGAGACAGCCCAGAGTTCAAGGCGCTGGAAATAAAAGTCGTGACAGTGGTTAGTAAAACATTTTGCATTTTAATATTTTAATATTAATATTAATTATTTAATATGGTAATATTTCACACAAATATTATTTGGTATTATTTTTTCTCTTTCTAGTATAATATAATCTACAGAGCAAGATATGGAATCTTCTTTATTCGAAGTTTTGTCATTGCATTTAGGTATGGTAACTTCTCATTTAAATTTTTTAAGTAATTTATAATGTATACAAATAAAAGGTTGTTTGTTTAACGAGAAGCTAAATATCTTAAAGACATAGTAGCCTTCAAGTAATAAAATGTTTTCACAATGTGCACTTATAGTTTGTGACTTGTTTGCTTTCAGACCAGCCCAAGTCAGGTTTCGAATGAATGGTACTCAAGCAGAGATGGGTGTAGAGTTTAATAAAACAACACCAGCTGAGGCAGTTCCAAAACCTGAGGATGTTCAAGAAGTACTAGTAGTGGGTGTAAAGAACTCCAGCCTCACCATGTCCTTGAATATCACCTTTGATCCAGAGTCAGTTACAGCAATTCGTAAGTAATAAGTCTTTGAAACAATCAAACACAAAATATCGCATAATAACTAATGCAGCAAATCATACCTCAACAATGGGATATGAAATTTATAATTATCTTCAATTCTGCATATCACTACACATACCCTTTCAATAAGTAGGGCTGCAGTTGAAACTGATTATTTTTACTTTGCAATACTTTGTTTCGAGTCACAAAATCCTTTACAAGTAATATTTTAACAGACATTTGATATTGCTACACTACTGGGTGTGGATTCTGAAATTAATATTCTTCAAAATTATTTAAGTGTCAAGATTTGGTTTTGGATTGTCGACCCAAAAGCAGAGGCAGGAAGGCAGAGGTGAATTTCTCTGTGATTTAAAGAAGGTTTACTGAAAACAGAGGCAGGTTATCCAAAAATAAAATAAAGTCCAAACTAACTGGAAACCAGGAGTCCAAAAACAACAACAAAAAAAAAAAAATCAAACAAGAAAACATTCAAACGAACCAGAAATCATGGAAACATCAGGGAGATAACTATCACAAGGTGGAAGGCTCAGAGAGACGGCGTTGGAGGAAGTTTGATGAGGAACCAGCACTGCAGAACTGCACAGAGAGAGTATTTAAGGGAGACTGAAACAAATGGAGGGCTAACGAGCAGATTGGGAGCAGGTGAGAGCAGAGCAAAAACAAGAAGGGAGCAAGGGAAAAAAGGAGAACTCGAGAGGGCAGCAGAGGACAAGAAATAAAAACCTGAGAACTGAAAATAACCAGAAAACACAACAAAATAAAAATTAAATCACGAAAACTAGAAAAGATTGAACAAGTAAAAACAGAATACACAAAAGAAAACATAATAGAACCAAGACTATAACATTAAGGTTATTAAAGATAAATGTTTTTTTTTTTTATTTACTTAAATTCAGTTTATTTATAAAGCACCAATTCACAACAGGTCATCTCAAGGCACTTTAGAGAGAAAATTCAACCAGATCATAGATTCAGATTGGAAATATATTTTATTGAACGAAACTATGTGATTACGGTTAAAAGAAAAAAAAGGCAGGATGTTTTTCAATGTTATTTATTAAAACATTTACTTAGAATCAATCAAAACTGTAGCGTTTAGTTTAGTGAAAAGGGGTAAACCTAATACCAAAAGGTATTTATCAAAAGACCTATCCATCTGTGTTCCATGGTTAAACTGAATATTATTTTGGCAATCATAAGAGATGGAAAATAGGATGAGGACCCCCATATCTAGACCTCCTGATAATGGAGACCATCTTGGAGGAAATATATACCCCTTCTACTCTAGGAGCAGTGTGGGATCCCTCAAAATGAGCTTTAAATTTAAAGTGGATAAAATCGTACATATAATTTAAATACAAAGAGAACATTAATTGAAATATAATGTTAATGTGTGTTTGATTAGTCATTCATGATCAAATATCATACTCTTTAAGGATCAAATTCATGAGATTGATAGTATTAAAACTGTATCCTATGTGCTTTTGCTTTCTGTTCAAATTTCTGTATTAAGAAATAACATAAATAAAGGAAACATTCAGAGTTAGCAAAGGCAGCTGATTAGGGAAACATAAAACTGATATGTATAAGACAAGTTAGAAGATGAAAAGTCAGAAAAAAATGTCCAGTCAATCCTGTCTAAAGATCTTGGATTAATTCATTGTTTTAGGAATTTTTTCATCACATATTGATTTTTATTTCTTCCATGAAAAAAGATTAGTTGTCTATCTCAACCCAGTAAATTAAATAATACATTTATTTAGTATAAGTTAATAAAAAGGCAATCTAATGACCAAAATACGCACAATGATTTGAGGTTCATACTCTGATACACTTGTTTACTTTTTAATGTGATAAAAATAAGTTGTTTACCTGCATTAGAAAAAAAAAAAGATTGGTTCATGCATTAAATGCAAAGTTAAATAAGATATTTGAGGGGTCAGACTTTTTACTTTAAATAAATTAATTGTTTCTTTGTGAATTGCTGGATTTTGCATTGCTTTATAATCTAATTTTTTTTTATGTTTTATTTTTTTGCAGGTCAACCTGTAACAACTGTAGCCCCAACTACGGCCAACAGTACAGTAACCCCAGCTCCAAATACAACAATTTCTCAGAACTCCACGGAAAACATAACAACTACAACAGCTGGCAATACATCTACCACAATCAGCACATTAGGAAATACAACAACAAAGAACCCAGAGACATCAGCTTCTAGCAATTCAACTTCCAACAACACAACAACAAAGAAGCCAGAAACATCAGCTGCTAGCAATTCAACTTCCAACAACACAACAACAAAGAAGCCAGAAACATCAGCTGCTAGCAATTCAACTTCCAACACCACAACAACAAAGAAGCCAGAAACATCAGCTGCTAGCAATTCAACTTCCAACAACACAACAACAAAGAAGCCAGAAACATCAGCTGCTAGCAATTCAACTTCCATCAGCACAACAACAACGACCACAACTGTGGAGCAGACAGTAAACAGGAGGCTGACTTTTAGGTCACCTGGGGAAACCTTCACAACTGATTTGTTGGACCAATCCTCGTCAGCATTTATAAATAGAGCTGCACTTTTAAAGTCAATTGTAAGTCCTCCTCTTTCAAAAATGTTATAGCCAAATGCTATATTGATTTCACAGGCAAGGTACAGTAAATATTCAGTTTTGCAATGCAGTCAACCTTTTCCCCACATAAAAAATAATACAGATTTTTTTAAGGAAAAAAATTAAGTTATATAATAAATGAGAAAGCAACTTTTAAAATAGGCTGACAATTTATCCTGCACACCTAGTGGCCTAGGGTTAGTCAGTCATTCTAGAATTGGTACTTACAGCCACTATGTTGTTTTATATGAGGCTTTGATAAAATAAGAAGTAATATGGCAAAAATCCAGTGAGAAGGTGAAAATACAGTACCAAGATGAAGTACAAAAAAACCTGAATAATTTTAGAAAAGTTTGATTTCTCAAGACATTCTGCTACTTTGAGTAGTGAAACTTAAGTGAAACTTAAATCTGGAAGACTCTTATCAGCTTCACCTGAACCACCTATGATGTCCCTTATTCAGCTCCACCAATCAGCACGGGGCCCGCACCTTCTCCAAAGCCAATCATCTTTCAAGGTCCCCTTCATTTAGCTTCTGGCCCAGCTTCTCTCTCCTACACACAAACAAACTTTCACCCACCTCCACCCCATCACCTCCCTCATTCTCAGATTATTCTCAGCCCCACTCAACCTGTGGTTTATTCCACCACCATTGTCCGGGTCCAGGAGGAAGACAACCATAATCCTTTTCTAGGTTGCTCATCCAAGCGAATGTTGATTCTCAGCACTGAAGACTTCTGCCGGGGCCTGAGCGCCAAAGATCTTATTCCATTCCTTTCTTTATCTGCTTCTGTCTCTTTGAACCCAAATCGGCCTCGGTTGATGGCAGCTCAAACTAAGCCTGGTTCTGCTGGATGTTTGATTCTGTTAAAAGGGAGTTTTCCTCTCCACTATCGCTACATGCATGCTAATTGTGAGGGATTGCAGAGTCATTGAGTCCTTACAATCACCTGGTTTTCCTTTGATAGAAAAATTTTAAAGAATATGATTGTGTTGTCTGTATAAATAAATCTATTTTTTTTTTTCTCTGTCGATGTCTCTCCAGGATAAATATACAAATGCATATTAAAATTGTAAACACTTAGGTTTTGGTTCTGTATCTGTTTCATATCAATAACTGTCACAATGTTCCGACTCATAGTGCTTTAACATTTGATGATTAAAAGTTGACTTATGTTTTCTTTGTTTTTCTTCAGCTTGAACCCTTCTACCAACAATCGTTTTCCTCATTCCGCAGTTTAACAGTGATTTCATTCAGGTAATAATTAATAATCTAATTTAAAGAATTGCTCTGGTCAAACATTCTTACATCCTATATTATTTTTTCTATAGCAATGGGTCAATCATCAACAACATGGATCTTGCATTTGCATCTGCATCTGCTCCTAATGGCTCCCAAATTGCAAATGTTTTGATCAATGCAGCTTCAAACATCTCTGCCTTCACCATTGATACCTCTAACATTTTAGTGGATGGAGAAGGTAAGATAAAAATGTTAAGATTTAAAACATTACTTCTTTGAATAGAAATGATCAAATATATATTGTTAAGAAATTTTCCCATAGAAAGGTTTGCTAATGCCCTGCTTTTCCTCTCTCATTCCAATAAGTGTCAAGTGGAGTAAGCCAGAAGATCAATCTCATCACGGCTCTCTGCATGGTCCTGTTGTCCTGGGTGTTGTCCAGCCAGCACTAATCTCTCTATTGACTAGTGGTGGATAATCTTCCCCCAGAAAGTTATTCTAATTGAAAACTAAAAAGGATCTCATGAAAGGGTGTTTTTAAAAGAGAAATAGTTGTCCAAAAATTGTTTCTGAGTTTATTTAAGCATCTCTAAATTTAAGCATCCAGTCAAGAACTTAAATATTTGTAAAAGCACATTCACTGATTATCTATGCTGTTTTGTTAGGAGGTTACTGCAATTTTATTTATTTCTCTGAATGTGAAACCCTGGATCCGATCCATGAAGAACATCTTGTACACTTACTTATTAACATGAGGGTTATGTCTATACAATAGGATGTGATGTAGGATTTAAAGTTTTTTTTCAATGCACTTTATGCAAAGGCAGACTCTAATTATCATCTTCATTCAGCAATATAAGTATTTAAAATAGTAATAAAGGAATGATTTTAATGACAAATTAGATTATGACACTGTTCATGCAAATCCTCAAGAGAAATCTATGAATTGATTATTTTGTATAAATGTATTATAAGATGTCTAAACAATATCAAACCTTATTATTTTGTTGTTTTTTGATATAAAATATATCTATAACATTGGAGACTTCGGTATACAGTATTCTGTTAAGTGTTACTCAATTGTATTTTTCTCATCATAAATTAAAGTTAAGATGACAAAGACATAAAAACTAATCATTAAGATTACATTAATAAGAGATCACTGAAATAACAGCTTTAGGGTGTAAGATGTTTAAAAGTGTATAAAAACACTTTCTTGCTTCTAATAAAGAAACTGATCAGCAAAAATGATGTTTCTATTTTATTGTCAACAATGAAAGTGCTATCTGGAGTCAAATGTTGTTTCTGCATAAAAAAATCCCCATTAACTGTTAAACTAAAACTTATACATTCTTAAAGTGTAAAACACATTCTTACAACCACTGTTTGAATATAAAGCCATTATGAACTAGATTTTTCTTTTTACCAAGACAGTATTACAATTTTTTGTCCTCAAAGTGTATTGACAATCCTCTTAAAGCTGTCTAAAAAAATGATTAAAATATATTAATTTTATCACATTAGCATATTCTCAAATCGATTATTTTATAAATAGACTTAAACAAAATCACATTAGCATTTTCTGGAGTGCCAAGAGTTCTGTCAGGGATTGTACAAATTGGTCAGAGAATAACAAAAAGAATTTAGTGAATAATTTTGTTTTTTATGTTTTTACAAAACAGGATTTAAAAAAATAAAATAAAAATGATAAACTGGGGAAAAAAAGAGAGGTCAAATTAACAATCTTCAACTCTGGTAGTATAATTTACAAATTTACAAATTGACCAAACAGAACTTGAGGGAGACTTGGATATTGGCTGATCAAACTACAGAATGGGAGAATAGAGATAGAATGAAGAAAAATCATGAAAAGGGGGGCCTAGGTCCTCCAGCAGTCTAAGCCTATACCATCATAACTATAGAGCAGTGTTTCCCAACCTTGATTGACTTTGTGAATTTGGTCTTACCATTAGTACCCCTTTCAGTGAAAATTATTGATCATTCTCCAAAAGTGGAACGTACAATAAATGCTTATAAAATAAAAACTATTTTACTTGTGTAAATCCCTTTATTGTCCTACAATGGAGAAATTCACTCTCTGCATTTGACCCATCCCCTTGGTGAGCAATGGGGTGCCATTCTGTTGTGCCCGCCCGGGGAGCATGGTGGGATTAAGAGTTTTGCTCAGGAACCCAGAGTAGAGGGATCAACCAGGTACTTGCAACCTTCTCAGAGCACAAGCTCTAACCCGCTCTGCGAACACCTACCCTACATAATCTCTTAATTTTAGCATTTAATTCTTAGGCATTTTATGCTCAAATAATGAAAATATTAATATGTTACCTGAAAGCTAGCAAGGAATTGAAATAAATGAAAAATAAAATCATATTATGAACCTGTATTCATAAAACTAGAGCTACTCTGAGTAACTCTCTTATGGTCACATTTAAACTTAATAAATTGGGTACAAAGTAAAGAACAAAAATGATAGACTGACTTACTTTGTTTTCATGAAGGAACCCCGAGCTTGCTTTGAGGATCTCTGATAGATCAATGTGAAAAACAGCTGATCCCATCTGTTCTCTACATCCAGTCTGTTCCTCTGCTTGGCTTAGATGCTTTTCACAGCTGTAGCTAAACTCAAACATATAAGAAAAAACTTCCTATTTGGTTCATAAAAGCTTTTTTATTTTTTTGTCATTCCTCTCAGACTCTTACTGCGTTCCCTGTCTCATCTTAACCAGTCCGGCAGAAGACCGCCATGTTGAGCCTGGTTCTGCCAGAGGTTTCTTCTTACTGGGAGTTTTTCTTCTCCACTGTCACTCCATGCTTGCTCATCATGGACAGGTTCTCTCAACCTGTGTTATCCAACTTGACTTCCATCTTCCAGGTCCCTGGGTGAAACTCTAGTATCAGCTCACACAATCCACTGGATCTCCCCATAAAGCTCAGCATACCATCTCACTAACCAGCAGTCTACAGACTAACCAACTTCATCTATCAGTTCATCTACTTCATCTATCCACCAGTTTCATGTCTGGGGGGGTAAACAGCCCTATTCTTTGCTCCTGTTCATGCATATCTATCAAAATTAGGCGCTATGTTTCCTGCCGAGGTCTGAGCACCAAAGACAAGGTAATTTTATCAATAAATTTCTCCTAATTGTTTTTTCTCTTTGTGTGAGTTTTTCAGATAGAAATAAGAAATAAAATATATTTATGTACCCCTTGCAATGCACTCGCGGACCACTAGTGGTACAAGTACCCCCGGATTGGGAATCACTACCATAGAGGTAGCTAAAGATCACCGATGAGGTGTGTAGGGATTCCAAGACACCTCATTATACAGCCTACAAATGTCACCTACTTTTTTCCCAATTTGAAGGACGGGTCCGATGTATCCTAGCTCTCCTTGGATATCCCAGAATTCATTGCGAGCCCAAGCTAGCCGGCTGCTCAGTGATCAGAGGAAATGGTACTTGGCGGCGAACAGTGGTGAATATTGGAAGTTAAGTTTAATATAATCCAATTATGTGAATAGTTCCGTCTGAAATTAATGAAAATAGTTGTTTTAAATGGTTACCTAGTCAAATATGTGGACTTTGATGTTTGATTTAACTACAGCTTTTTATCTGATGCTATGCAAATTGGTTTGGCTTTAATTTAAGGACAGATTCTAATATAGCTGCTGTGTGGGGACTATTATCTGATGTGATTTTTATTTTTTTATTGCTCTTTTGCATATTTTGCTTAACTAAGTATTTTTTTTTGTTGAACATAATATACTTTGCAGCTATATTTTTTATACATACGTTTAGATTTATTTATAATTATATTTATATCTTTCTACCCCTATTATGGAATAGAATAGAAAATCTCTCACAAAATATGGACCTTAGAAAAATGTATAAGAATAACATAATAGGGAAGAGTTAAAATATAAACCATAAAATACCATACTAAAAGTGTTTAAAAACATAAAACTGTGCACCTGGAGAAAAAATAACCATGGACATTTTTTACAGTAATGGATATTTGAAAATAGCAGCATTATTTTACTGACTAAGGTTTATAGCATTACATTTCCTTTTCTTGTTCATGCTCCTGGTGGTTGACTTTATTTCAGTCTGTATTCTCATGAGTGTCTTTAAAACTTTGAAAAGTTTTGTATTAATCTTTTCCTGCTTTGTGTGTCAACTTTCACAGTTGCTAAGCGACAGAGCGTATGGCATAAAAAGCCACCGAAGGGTAGACCTGTTTGAATTCACACCCAAAACTCTTCCGGTCTCCTTTTTCAAGGACGAAGGATCAAGCCCAGATAGACCGGGTCCTTGCAAGCCAGAGCTGATAAATTCGAACACAGCCAGTGCTGCAGACAGGAGGCCTCTGATTGGTCAAATCTACATCCGCTCTACTCAGCCGTATTTCCTGTTTATTACCTTAGCAGAAAACAACTCGTGAAATTAGAGCAGCAACAAGAGCAAGGAGCGCGAGAACGCTGAGAACCTTTTTCCACCTGGATCCCCGCTCTCTTTCGCCCTCATCTACCTCCATTGTAGGACAAACTCACCCTCACATCCTCACCGCCTCGGCGGTATCTAGACCCACATCTAGTTTGTGATTGTCCCTCTTGCGTTGTGGTGCGGACCACGCTTCAAAATTGAGCATAAATCAAAAATGTCTTTGTCATACCTGCGACAAGCTCACTGCGACACACTTCTGCGTGAGTATAACCAGCCCTTAAATCATGATGGCTGACATTTTAGAGCCAACTTGCTGTAAAACAGACCGTTTGTAACATTGAGTTTCAGAAGTAAGAAAAGTTACTGGAAGTGAAATCCTCCTAAAAAGACCTTTACCTTGGTGTGAGCCACGTGGGACAAAGGAACCCCGCTAGCTGTGAGCCGAAGCTGCCAACTGCTGGAGGGAACTCTGACTTTCAAAAATGGACATGGGCAGAGGTCTAAGTTTTGGCACAGTTAGGGACAGATTCTACTATGCTTTTGATGATTTTGTTCATTTCATGTGTTTTCTAATTTTGAGCTGTTTTCTTTATAAACTAAAATAAGCTTTATTTCACTACGGTTTAAAAATGTGTTTAATAAAACGTGTTATCATGTGTTTACTCACATGCTCATTACATTTTGATTATTGTATTATGACCAAAAGTTATTTAATGGAATCATGTTTATTCGCCGCTAGCTATTTCAAAGAGGGTGAAGAATAATTCAATTTAAGGTTATTGGTTCCTGATTAAAGAAATCATTTAACAAAACATTATTAGAAAATAGAAATTGAACTTTATTGATGTCACAATGGAGAAATTAACTCTGCATTTAACTCATCCCCTTGGGTAGCAGGGGGCAGGCATTGTGCAACGCCTGGGAAGCAGTGTGGGGTTAAGGGGTCTTGCTCAGGGACCTAGAGTGTTGGTTGTGGGGATCAAGAAGGGTACTTGCAACCTTCTCAGAGCACAAGTGCATTGCTGTAACCTCCAGACCAACACTCCCCCAACTAAACTAGCTAAAATAATGTTTTATTTAATTCATGGACTTGTATGTGAATTGGTTTGAAAACATTCCAATCGCTCTAATTTAGTCAAAAAAGCTCATTTGATAGCATCCCAAATTCTTCAAAATAAACTTTGGTTCTTAAACACAAAATCCATGCCAAACTATGATATGGTTTTAAACCATGTTTTCCCTTCCTCTTTGTAGACAGTAGTTGAGTTTCACTAGTTTTAGTCAAGAGTTTTTAACTGACATGTTTGACTTGGAGAAGAAGGACTTTTGTTAATAAACTCTTAATAAACTATTTTGAACAGAAGCTGTGGTGAATTTATTCCATGTATGTACAGAATTATCAGTTTGACCATGATTTGAGCTCTATTCACGTTTTCATTTGTTATTCTAACACACTGCCAGTAGGGAGTGTGTTCATAAGCAGTATATGGCAGTCCAAACAATAACTGATTAAATAAGATATTTAACACCCATTCAGAGGTGGGCATTAAATATATTAAAGTTGCAAAACATTTATCAAAGTTTAAAGCAGGGTGTCTGCTTCACGGAGTAAAACTGGTAGTTGGTTCCACTACCAGTTGATTTGTTGCACTGTTCACAAATTCTCAAGTTATCCTGTACACAGACAGACAGAGAAACACACACACACACACACACTAAC